GTTGTGTGTAGATGTAGAGATGTATATAGCAAAGGATATTGGTTTCTTGTTTGTACATAAATTGTATTGTTTCGACTGGGTTTGGGGTTCTACATATATATGGAACTACCATGACATGGAGGAACCTTGGGGCTAGAGCTACCACCAACAAAATTAGTCAATAACGTGTTAGGTGATTATTATAATTGATTGTGTGTCAACAAAATATTTGGCTCCATAAAGAAGTACAATGTTGAGAGAAAATGATCATGAATTTGGAAGTATTTTTGTTCTGACAAGTTAATATACAAACTTAAAATTTGATATGGGATTTCATGTGTTCACAAATTTGCATTAAAATAATATAGACCTTGTTTGGTAGTAGACAATTGTAGCAATAGGTAATTAAATTAGGAATTGTGGCTAACTAATTGAATTACCTGATTCTGTATAACAATTTGGTGAATAGAGATAGTTATTGATTGGTAAGTAAAAGTGAGCAAAACCGAGCCGATACTGAAAAAGCAAACCGAGCTATTCGGTGCGATTTTTGAAGAGTTCGGTTAACGGTGCAGTTTGGGTATCATAAAGTGAGTAATATATACACTTTAGTTTTACACTTTGTGAGTAAAAATTTGGACACAAAATCACATAAACATTTACATTTAAAATTTAAAAGTAATAATTTTCATTTCTATTCTTTCTTGCCCTAATTTTCCCTCTCAACATTAATTTGTGGTTATCCTTTTTCAAAGGTTCGGTGCGGTGCGATTCAATTATTCCTTCTATTGCGGTGTGATTCGGTGAAGAAATCTTTAATATTCGATTTTCGGTTTTTTTCGATGCTGTTCGGTATTTGACCGAATCGCACTGATGTTCACCCCTAGTAAAAGCAACATAGAGTACGATTCCCCACTCCAACAAAAAATGTGGATTATTAGCTGATAGTAGATAACTGACAATCAATTATATTATGTGATAGCTAATAATTGATTTGACTAGTGAACTATATAAGCAATTTATAATATGTTTCGGAAAAACCTTAGGTCGCATTGTTTTTAATGAATCAAACTATTCAATAAACTCTTGACCAAATAGTTAATTAACACTTTTTAATGGGTCGATTCCATGTTTCATTTCAATTGCTAATACAAAGACAGAGAACTACTACAGTCACGTTGACGGAATGGTTCCACCAATGTTGGTTACCGTAGATTATCCACACAAAATAATTATATGTGTATTCAATGGTAAAAAAAAATACTGACGGTACCTTATGTAACGGGACCTTAGAATTTTCCATAAAGACAATTCACCAAAACAAAACCATGTGTGGCTATTTTAAAATTTTTTTTTTTAATCTAAAATGCTAAATTCAAAATACAATGTACCAAACAATTTACCTTCAAACCTCCTACCACCAAAAGCATTACCAAACAAGGCATGATATAACATGGAGTGGAATTTTAAGGGTTCACTCCATTAAAACTATCAAATTATTATTTTTTACGCTTTTAGCACATGCATACAATGATTGAGAATGAATTTGCATTATTATAATGACACCAGGTTTGGGTCAAAAGTTGACATTTAATTAAGAAACCCCTTCTAGTTTTTTTTTTTT